TATTATATATATATATATATATATATATATATATATATATATATATAGTACTTTTATTAGTCCATGTGGTACATGACCAAAAATCAATTTGAATTTGAATTTTGAATATATGTCGATGATTTTTATCCATAGATATTTTATCAAGGAAATTGATAGCCTTATCATGAATTAGGTTTTGGTGGAGTCATACTTTAAATAGCTAGTTTAAAATATAATGTGATTTTTTTATATAGTATATTTAAAATAATATTGTACACATATGTTATACAATTTGAGTTGAAAATAGTAGATTGAGTATTTTTTTATTTATTTATTTTGAGTTTTATAGGATGTTTTAGTTGAAGAGAAATCAAGATTGGGTTCGATGCCACCAAGTTGTTACAACAAATGTAATCAATGCCATCCATGTAGGGCAATTCAGGTCAGTAGCGTACGCAGAATTTATCAATTATTAATTATCATCATAATTTGATTTTGTACCATAGTTTGTTTTTCTAATTAAAGAAAGTTCAATTTTTTTTAAAAAAATTCCAAATTAAATGTTTATTTTGTTTTACATATATATAATTAACATAAAATTTTGAAAATAGGTACCAAGTCTACCGAGTAATAATGGTGTCAAACCAAGAGGTGGTGTGGCTCGAACCCAAGCTAGGTCCATGCACCACACCACTAGAGAATCATCAATTCCACATGCGGGAGCTAGCAGGTATTCGAATTACAAGCCACTTGGATGGAAATGTAGATGTGGAGGTCACTTCTACAATCCATAGCTCAAAAGTATCTAAATTTATTTAAAATGAGTCAATAGAACAACAATTGAAATGCCCCTTTTTATATTATATTAATAGGGAGAGTAAACATATGGTCGAAAAATTCCTTGAGATTTGTAAAAATTAGAGAAAGTCAAGTCAAGGCAAGACATTAAATGAGGTTGTTATAAGTAGTATTTACTATGGTTGTACATATTCATAATTAAAAAGTGATTGATTGGTATGGTGTTGATATAAATGTAGTGAGGTAGGTTTTGGATGTATGGATCTTGTTAAATTATTTGCATATTTCTTGTCTCAATTTATATAATACGAGTTAAATGATTTAAGTTTATGAAAATTTATATATGATATTTTTATTTTTTTAAAAATATAATTTATATATTTATAAACTACGTAAAAAGTATTATGTATTATAATAATTAATAATTTAAAATAAATAAAAAATTATGATAAAAATAAACTTATTTAATTCTTAAAATACGAAAGATGATGAAATATTGAGAGTTTAAATTATAATTCATTAAAAGAATTGGTTTAATAATAGTTCACTATATTATTTTACATATTCAATAATATTTGTCCAGTTTATAAAATTAACAGATAATTGTATACTTAGCTTATAATTTACTTTTATTATTCATAGTAGTCATTTTCCTATTCTATTTGAAGATATTTATTTATTTATAATTTTCAAAGGGTGATATATTTAAAATTATTCTTCTATTAAGGTTTCTTGTACAAAATTAATAGTTGACTAAGTTTTGATGGACTGAGGAGTTGTGGCTACTATTTTTTATTTTTTTTTATCTCTTGATTATTAACTTTATATTTAATCTGTATGGATATCCTATTAAACACTGTATCTTATTATTTAGTTGAATTCTGCAGTTTAATTTGATTATTTGTGAATATTTAGAGTTTCATAATTATTAATTGTTCTGTATTTAATTAATTAAATTTATAATTTTTCCGTTATATATTAATGATAATATAGTGTAATAAATTATTAAAATACAACATATTTTCTACGTTAAAGTATCAAGACTAATCATCTAATTAATTAAAAATTAAATATCTTAAAATAATAGGTCATAAGGACTAAAAGCACAATTTACAAATAAGTTAGGACCAAACGTGCTATTATTTGTAAATAATAGTATTTGGATAAACCAAAAGAATTATTTCTATTTGTTTTAATTTGTTTCTTTAAAACTATGGTTTACCTTTGACATGTAATTTGACAAAATTAACAAAATTTTTGAATTTTAAATTAAAAGTCTATAGAATATATCAAAACGTTATTTAGTTTTATTATTTTAAACATGTTCTACGGAAATATAGAATTAAAAAATTGTTAAAAAAATAAAATTACACTTTTTTATAAACATACTAAAAGAAGTAAAATAAACGAACTAAAACAGAAAAAGTACTTTGTTACACTATTATTAATCAACTTAATTTCAGACTCTAAACAACATAGACCTTGTTAATACACAAATAAATATTTTGATATGTTTTATTTCAATAAAAAATCTCTTTATAATAATAATTTATATTTGTGAAATTACATCGAATACGATAATCCAACTGTCATGCATGGCAACCACAAATAGGATTTTTGATATTTTTTTTGGATAAGGATTTTTTTCCTTTGTTGGACAGTCTTTTTCTTATCCTCTTGGGATTTTACAAAACAGTCCCCATGCATGTATTAATTACCAAGAATACCATCATGCTAAAGACAAAGGTGAGGTTAAAATAGTCAGTGCAATGTAAGTAAGCAAAAGATTTTATGGTAGTGTATCAGAGGAAAAATAAAATATGTGGAGTATATTTTATAAATATAGAATATAAGTATAAAGAGAATAGGACAAGCAAAACAGAAAAAGTATAGTTGTTGTAATGTCTCATCAAATATTACTACCTTTTGTAGTACTAGCTATTTTGATTGGGTCTTTAATGTATAAAGAGTTTAACTTTATTAAATCGATCGGTTGTCTAAGATTATATAAAAAGAATCAAGTTTATTTTTTCTATGATATGTATAGGATTTTTTCACGTTTATCTTACATCATAATTAGATAATTGAAGTGTGCATTATATTTAATTTGAAACCTAAGATAAAAAAATGTTGAAAAATCATAAAAAGAGTTTATATTCATATCCGACTTACGATGTAAGACAATATTGACAAGAGGACTGAAATAAATAACGAGTGCATTGAGATTTTAATATGGCTTTAGAAGTTCAATCAAAATTTTGAAGATTCATATTTCTTTTTTTCAAGAAGCTAATTAATAAAAATAAATAATAAAATAGTAAAGTTATTTAATTTATTTATGATTTATTAATAACCGTGTAAAATAGAACGTGTTAATGAGGGAGGAACGAATAAATATAAGATATATTTGCATGTGAAACTACGAAAAAACAATTTTAAAAAACTATATAAAGTTATAGATGAAGTTTACAACAAACCGACCTTAGCTCAGTTGGTAGAGCGGAGGACTGTAGTCTGTTGCTGAAATCCTTAGGTCGCTGGTTCGAATCCGGCAGGTCGGATTGCTTTTTCATATTTTTTCGACCTGTGTCACTGAACTTATGTCCCGAGAAATAACTTCGTGTGATTTTTTTCTTATGGTTTGAACCCGAGACCTAAGTATAAACTTGATTAATGTCTATTTGTATATTGCTTTTTCATATTTTTTCGACTTGTGTCACTGAACTTATGTCCTGAGAAATTACTTGTGTGATTTCTTTCTTAGGGTTTGAACCCGAGACCTAAGTATAAACTTGATTAATGTCTATTTGTATAACTTGTACCACTGAACTTGTGTAACTTCTTCCTATGGCTCGAACCGAGACCTCAGTATGAAGTTGACTAATGTCCATTTGCGTAACTCGTGTCATTGAATTCATGTCTCTAAGCATAACTCATGCAGTAAACTTATCCTTTGCCTTTTTTTTTTAAATATGGGGTAAAAGTGCCTTACGAATTAGATAGCACTGAATTTATGCTCTAAAGCAAATTCTAAGAATGTCTTCCTAGAAAATTTATGTCATAGTTAAGGGTATATCGGACACCAAAATTTTATTTAATGAGATAACAAATTTGACGGACAAAAATTAAAAACCATCGAAAAATAGAGATATTTGTCCGAACGACTAAAGGAAAACCCATGTGTATGCAAATTGGGTTATTATTGGGCCTTATTGAACAATTGGGTACATATGGACCACTATGAAGGTTCATATTGCCTTAAAATGTTTCACCATCTAAACCAATTTCAAACTAGTCACTTTCAAGCTTAAAGATTTTTCCAACTTAACCTTCACCTATTAGGCATATCGACCAAGTGTCCTACTCGAGACGAAGTATTTGTTGTTTTCAAAACAAAACAAATGAGGTAAAAAGGTCTGAGATAGCGTCTTTGGAAGACAGAATATCTGAAATAGTATTAGCGAATTGCTATGATCGATAAACAATCTTAAAGTGGATCTGAAGGACCAATATAGTATCTTATGCAAGAGGGTAAAGGAAAATGAAAAATCATCAATTTAAAACCTAAAAGTTGTTAATGAAAGCTTCCAAATAGAAATATTGAAATTATTAACATTTGCCAAAGATAACGTATCCAGTGTCACTCATAAATAGGGTTTAGAGAGAATAGAGTGACATAAATTTTACATATACCGTGAAAGGTAGATAGTTATTTCAATGAACTCTTGGAATAGGATTGATAAGGTATTAATTATACTTCATTTTTTGTGGGTTCCCTAGGCAGTTACACTAGTGATAGAGTCAGGATCTTTTACAAGGATATTTAAAATTTGAAAAAGTAAACATACGAATTAGTTGAAGGAGGTTTAAAATCTACTATATATACCTAAACAATAAGTTTAATCACATATAAATAATAATATTTTTCTCCAAAGGAATTCGGATGAATTGATTCTCTGACAATATGCTCACTCTGCCTAAATAACAATAATAAATCTAATATATTCCACTAATAAGGTGTGAAAAGGGTATGAGATGACACATACAAATTTCATTGCTATCTTTGTGAGATAGAAAATTATTTCGAATAGACTCAAAAAATAAACATAATCAAAGTAAGAGAAAAATAATTATTTTAAACAAGTGTATCATACTATTATCACAGTTCGATTGTCCCTAAGTTTAATGCTGATATTGTGATGGTTAATGTTTTCATTCTCGTAGACATTAGTATTTAATTACTTTATATTATTTTTAAGTGATGTAAACCTATAATACTTATATATTATATTGTGTGTGCGCACGCGCGCGCGCGTGCGTGCGTGCGTGTGTG